GGCATATCTCAAGAATATAGCTTTTACCCTGTACAAATATCCTATTCCTCATTAAAAATTTCCCTGTGATTTAGCATCTGTTGATAATGCTCATTTGATCCACTCCTTACTTAGCTGGATTAGCAAAATGTTAATGTCCCAATTCTAGGACTCCCTTCACATTTATCAGTTGGTTCTCAGCAAAATCACTACTTCCTTCTTATATGTCTGTGTGGACTCATTAATTCCTATTTTTTCTAGTATCTTATAATTCATTATTGTATATACTATCCTGTATTTGGCAAGTGAAACTCTTTTATTCATTTATTTTTAAAGATCCAGTGTGGAAAAACAATGTATACGGAATTTAAAATTAAACCAAAATAAAATGTAAAGTTGAATAAAAATAAAAAAAAGAAAGAAATATAGGCTTGGTTGACTTCTGGGTGACAATCAGACATAGCACTCTCTTCCCCAACCCTCTGTTCCCCTAGAAAACACAAAAGCATATTTAGAGGTTATTTTCATTACCAATTGGGCAATCAGTGAATCACTATTATTGTATTATTATTCAATAAATTTAAATTTAGAAATATGAATTTCAATAGTTGAAAATTCCTGTAATGAATTTGTAGTACACTTTGTAAACGATGCTGCTGTGGATTATTTTCTCTTCAATCTTAAAGATTGCCCCATAAACTCTGAAAACCAGAGACCCTTTGATGGAGTTGAAGTTTATATTGAAATATAATTGTTCCCTTCATAGCTAAATATGTTCACTACTTCATATCAAACTATATACAAAGAGGGGAGCTCTGGTGGCCTAGTGGCAAGGAGCTGCAACTACAATCCCAGAGGTGCACGGTTCGAATCCACCAGATGCTCTGCCGGGGAAGGAGGGACAATCTCCTCCTGTACCAGTCAGATCTAATTTGACGGTACACGCACACAAAAAATAATTTAAAAAAAATAAAATAAACTATATACAAAGAAAAGAACAGAAGCTAATATTTCCTTGTCCTTCATTGAGGGGATGGGGTTTAGAAATGAGATTAATGCCTCTGATCATTTTTAATAGATCTTGGCATCTCTAGGACTCTCTCCAATGCCCTGTTTTTCACGTCCTCTGATTCCTCTTAGTTTAGATGGTAATGAAACCCTTAGAAGGCTACGACACTTCTTCAGGAAAGAAAAGGAAAGATTTAAAATGAAGAGAGACAAGTCTAAAGAAAATGTAAGGTAAATAACCCCTTTGGATCTTTTCCCAGAAGAGGGTTAATGCTGCCTCCCTGGTGGTTACACATCTGATGTTCTCTATTCTGTTCTCAGGAACTAAACACTAGTTACCCTTGAGTCAGTTCCAACTCATGGCAACTCCTTGTGTGTCAGAGTGGAACCTGCTCTGTAAGAGGGGACCAGGGCTTTTTTCCAAGGAACCTGTGGGTGGGCTTAAACCTTTCAGTTAGTGGCAGAACGCATTGATCATTTACATTACTCAGTGAGGTGATATCTCCAAGGTTATCAGAAACGAAACTAGAGTCCTCTGTCACCTACCTCTTTCATGCTATGTTTTCTTCTTTGTTGATTACAATCCCCCCACTATCCCTCTGTGGTTCTTGTCCCCATTAAGGCCTCCATCCCTTACCTCCCTGCTTTCAGGGTTTTGTCTTTACACAAATGCGGTCCTGGTGACTTTGCATGGCTCCTGTGTTAAGGACTGAAGGACTGAGTACCCCCATGCTGTTATTGCTCACCACAGCATTTGGAAAGTTGTGCCAAAGGAGTGAGTTTAGTTATAGGTTCAAAGGATAACAAAGAGCCACTAGCCAATATTATGATTTTTAGTTTTGTCCTACATTTATGTGATATTTGAATATTCCACACCCACAGATTCTAATGGAAAAGGAGCACGCCCCTTTTGAAAATTTCATCAAGGGTGGATATAAACACAAAGATAGGGAAATTAATTCAGCAATTCCAGAAAGGACTGTTTCCTCCTTACTTAGGAGTATACACTCCGCCTTAGTCTATTCTTAGGGATACTAGTCAGAATAAGCATCCCTCTTGTTATCACTAAATATTAAACTATGATAGGAATTCATTCTTGTATACTTTCTAAAGTTCTAATGATTTCATTTTTATACTCTTCCACACACTAATTTGCCTCTCTTAAGAACTGTGATGTAAAAAAACAAAGTAAATAAACAAAAAAACAACAACCCTGTGATGTATGGACAGATAGATGGAATGTTCAGCTGAATAGTTCCTGTATCTCAAAGTCTTAACCCCCATCATTCATTACTGGTTCTAGACATTTAGGCTAGATTCTGGTCTTGGAGAGGTTAGAAATATACCAACTATAGAAAGAGACAGGAGGCCTGGATTCTAGCATCTATTTCAACTCTGCCACTTATTTACTTGCCAATCATGGGCAAATCACTTCCTTATTTTACCCACAGGTAAATTTGAATACCTTCTTTTATACAATAGGAGGGAGACTGGATGGTCTCTGGAAGGTACTTTTCTTTCTAATCTGCATAGACATAAATGTAGATCTGCATTTATAAATAAGGAATGGAGTACAGTGTATTGGAAAAGAATATGATCTAGGCTGTTTGACTGAGTGAAGTATTATGTTACCTTGAACTTCTTTTATATTATAAAAGTTTAAAAATATATATCTATGGTCTTATATCAACTTCTTATTGGGTCTGCTCTACCAAGAGACCCACTAAAACACAGGGTTTGTCGGAGAAGATCTCAAGCTGGAAAGATGAGAGTTCAGTATCACAGACAGTGAGATATACACATAGAGGCAGTTTCCAGCCTCAGGTGCTGTTGGGAAAAACCTTCCTAGAAACTCCCTGCTAGGTCTGGATTATCATCTTTCTTCTGTCTTCCACTAATGCTATAATCTTCTTATAACATCTCTTGAGACTAATGAAAAACTCCTTTTCTTAGAGTTAGACAATCCTCAAGTAAGATAGGAAATCCACATTATTTAGGTTAACCCACTGCATGAACTTTTCTGCAAATTTCCTAACACAAGAAATCTCTATACTTGCCTACTTCTGTAGAAGAGAAACATACCACCCACAGAAAAGATGCAATTTTAATAAGCTCTGTTAAAATGACCTTGAATTTTACCGGAATCTAATTCTCTGCTTTGAGTTTCCAACTAATAGCAGGGAGATAGACCAAGATAATCTGTTGGGATTTCTGCCTCCCTTTTCTTTTTTTTCTTTAAGAACCAAGGACTCCTCTCTTTGAACACTATCCTAGTATTGCTTTATCTTCAAAGGGAGGCTAAAGCCAAGAAAATATAACAGTCAAGAAGAATAAGGGTGGATAAGGGAAAAGGAGAGTATTGCGAGATTTCATTAAGATGAGAAATACAGTGGTATTTGGTGTTAGACGACAAAGTTGATATGAGTACTTGAAGGCAAATCAAATTTAAAAATTTAAACAAGAGAAGAGAAAGTGAATTGAATGATCTTAAAAGACCAAGAGGAAGGGACTATCATGATAAAACTTTCAGTGACCTTAGTTTCTATATTTAGAGAGGGGCTGTGGAAAATTTTAAAGAGGAGCACTCAGAACCAGATTAAAAATAATGAATTAGCAATAAAGGCTTTCTGTGTCAAAGGACCCTGGAGTGGAGATGCAAAAGCTAAGTGCTAACTAGCTTAGGGCCGTGAGTGTACTATGTTCTTCAGTCTAATGCTTGCATTAACCTACGTAGATAGAAACTCACCACTCCGTTTTACATATTAAAAACCTAAGGCTTTGAAACTATGTGGCTTGCTGAGGCCAAATAGTGGGTAAGTGGCAGAAGTGAGAGTTAAATTCAGCTCTGACTCCAGTGACCCAGTTCTTTCTTCTTTTCATCCTGCACGTTGCCATCAGTCTCCTCCACAGACAGTAGAGTCATAATCATAATGACTGTCCCAGGTACATTCCCTTGGTGTGTTCACTCAGTCTTAAAGGTAACTCTAAAATTTATGCTAATACTAGAGATAAGATTGAAAACCCCCAAGATTTAAAGGTGATATCATTTTCCTTAAGGTGCTGTTCCTCTGGGCATTTCCATATCTTTATCATTGAGTTATATTAACTTAATTTTTTTCCCAAATACACTTTTATTTTAAAAAAGAAAATTTAAAGTTTAACATGGTCAGAGGCTGACTTTGTCAAGGGGAAGATGGACCCTTTTCTTCCTTAAGAACCTCCCAGAGAATCCAGAGCCCACTAAGACTTATTTCCATTGCCCATGGGGTCTGCTGATACCAGTTTCCCATGATTCTATATTTCCCAATTAAAAAAAACACACACACACACACAAAACCCCCATGATCCCAAAAACTAAAATCCTCCCAGAAAAGGCAGGTCAGATATATCCAAGTGTTTGTGACCTACTAAATCTAACTTTAAGCTCAAAGACAGGTAGACAGTTCTCCAGGGTGAGTGAGCAGCAACACTCCTTGAAACAATCAACCATTTACCATTAAAAGGGGCCACATTTGCCCCAAGAATAAAGCTTAAAGGCAAGAAGATATAGGAGATATAGAAATGGCATCCTTGCAGGGATTACAAACACTCACACAAAATACAAATTGTTGAATGAGAAAGCAGTTCTAGTGTTGTTGTACCCATTGCCACCAATATCCTCTGATGCTCTTGTCTCTGGTTGTTATATTGCTTTATTTTCAACTTTCTCCCTAATCCCTAAACTGCTTCAAGGCAAAAGCTGTATCTGATCATGTTACACACCCAGCACATGGGCCTGGACCATGATGATGCTCCGACAAGACCTTAGGACTGAATTTAAATTAAATGGTGAAACACATCGCTACCACATCACATCTCTTTTCATATGAACTCCAGTTAGATTTGAGGACACTAAAACTAAACCACAGACCTGAGCTAAGTATTCTCTCCCACGTAGCAATTTACCACTTTTCATTTTCCACCTTGAATTTTTCTTTTACTTAGACATCATAGGCAGGGTTCAATAGTTGTAGAGGGTCCCTCTTAATTAATCTATGGATTTGTTCTCTCTCATCGATGCCTACTCCACACTAGATGTATCTGGCTAGCTACTGGCATCTTGGAGGGTGAAGTTAGAATTGTGGGAATGGCAAAAGTCAGCATGTGGTACAGCTTGAGATTGTCAAATGACAATTAATTTTATAAAACAATGTATGGGAATGATTGTATGAAACACCATGTGAATAGAGAATAGTGAGAAACACAATGTATACGAACTTTGTAAGCAAGTTAATATATAATTTTTAAAAACGGAAGGCATATGGACAGCTACTGTTGTTGGGAGAGGAAGGAGGAAATCCATTAAAACTCAGGGCAGGAAGAGTGATCTGAATGAAACTGCAGGAAATGTTTGCTTAAAATCTTGACCTCAAAGTACCTGTTGGTATTGACACACCTCCTCATTCATATGCTGAGATAGATCAAACTATCTAAATGTGAGCTTTTTTTCCTTCCCCTAACTCTTTTGTATTTTTTCACTAATCAGCAGTGAATTTTCCATCTCAATGCCTGATTTAGGTAAGTTTATTGCTTATTTCTGGTATAGACTATTGTTTGTGTTGTATAGAACAGCCTAACATTAGTATGGTCATGGGCTGTGATGGAGAAGTTCATCCGCTCTGCTGATCTCTGTTTAACTAAACACTGGTACTTCAAAATAAAGATACACAAGTTCATGACAATATTTCTTACTTTAGGGAAGATGAGTGAAATTTCTACAGTGGCTGCTATCTGCCACATCCTGTGGCAGACACAATCCCCTTCAAAATTCAGAGAAATTGATTCTGTCATACCTTTTTAGAGAGACATTAGGACTTACATGAACTCAGAGGCAATCCTCTACTTATGACATATTCTAGTTAGGACGAACTGGGCTTGTCACCTGATTTTGTTTTTTGAATTTTTTTTCCCACAAGTTAAATGCAACATACAATGTTAAACGATACCTGTGAGTTTATGTGCAATGTTTTCAGTCCAAAAGACAAATAAAGATCAGATTCATAAAGATACTAATAAGAAAAGTCAGTAAAAATGAAAAGTTTGAAAACTTAAAATTTTAATATTCTATTTATGTCAGAATTCTCATAAGTCCAAGTCATCTGAACAGAATCCTGTCATATATTAAGGAAAATTTATACTTCAGTGATCTGGAATTTGTACCCAAGTGAGTCTGAAACCAAAGCTAGTGTTCATAACATGTTACTACACAGACTCTTGAAGATTTGAGAGCCTGATCACACTAATTAAGATATAAATTGATTGTGATCATGTTGCAGTACTCAGGCTAATTGAATAAAGAAGGTATCATCAGAATATTATTTGCTTTGCCATTAAAGCTGAATAAATGAGCATAGCACTAAATGTTCATAATACATAGTTGTTGTTGTTGTTGTGTACCATTCAGTCAGAACTGACCCACAGCAGATTTTTCAGAGGCAGTTAATTGCATTGGAGGAGATTGCCCATCTTTCTCCCACAGAGCAGCAGGTTAACTGTTTAGGTGGTTGTTGTTGTTGTTGTTATGGGCTGTGAAGTCACTTATGACTCATAGCAACCCTATGTACAACAGCTCTGAAACCTGCCCCATCTTGAGCCAGTCTCACTAACTCCAATACACCTACACTCATTGCCCAGTTACTGTGTCAATCCACCTCCTCAGTGGTCTTCCTCTCTTACGCTGTCCCTCCACCCTTCCAAGCATGATGTCCTTCTCCAAGGACTGGTTGTGTTGTTGTTTACTATAGAGTTGGAACCTACACATAGCTTACCCTCTGGCAGATTTTCAGAGGCAGATAATAAAACAGGAGGAGTTTACCCATCCTTCTCTTGTGGAGCAGCTGGTGGCCTTGAACTGCATACTTTTTTTTTTTTTTGAACTGCATACTTTTGACATTGCAGTGGTAGCTCCTAGTCACTAGGCCACCAGAGCTCAGATGTCCTTCTCCAAGGACTGGTTGTTGTTGTTGTTAAGTGCCTTCGAGTCGCAGGCGACTCATAGCGACCCTATGAAGGAGAGTCCTTGACGCTTGGGTGCCTTTCATCCTCTCTCCAAGTTCATAGGGTTTCTGGAGGCAAGCTATTATGGAAGTGGACTCCACTCCTGCTTCCACGCTTGTTCAATCGGGTAGCTCCACCCCACTCTTAGTCCTCATTGGGTAGCCAACCATTAATGCATTTGACACATCCGTGTCACAGTGTTAGCCTCACAGCAACCACAGGTGACCGTGGGACGGCAACTTGTACACCAGGGCTATACGATCTAGAGGAATGTCAGTGACTTGAAATCAAGTGCTACCGGTTCTCTCTCATCCTGGTTAATTCCAATTAGGAGGGAGACTCTGGCATGTTAACTAGTTACATGATCCCCGGTGGGCCTCCCTAAACTTCTTAGAGGGCCAAGTGGTTCAGCCACCTGAGATTGAACAAAAACAAGTCTACGATGCCCTTAGATGTCTGGGACTTGCACACATGTTACACTGGCTGGCTGAGCATGTGCCTATCCTAGGCCCACAGGTGTGGGCAGTCATTGAACCACATTCATGATGGGGACCAGGGATTGCAATTACTTCCCATGAACAAGGCATTCCCAGTAAGTGCAGGTCATAAGCTTGTGTTGATTATGTTCCTGCTTTTATACAACATATTTAGTAGGTAGAATATGTCTGTGAATAAGGACTATGCATTTTTTTCTATTTGTGGTGTTTTATTTATTAGCTCCAGCTATTGTAGAGATGATAATTTTATTGTAACTCAGGAGTGACATCCAATTCCTAAACATGCCTCCAGGAACTATAAACTTTGATAAATGTCTATAGTTGTAGAGGGGCTTCAGGCCTTTTGTTTTCTTAGAGTCGTTATGAGTCGTGCTCAGCTCGCAAGCAATCAACAACAACAACTATTCAAATGTATATTCTATTCCACCAATTTTAGTTTCCTGAACTAAACACAAAAAATTATATGTGGTAAAATTCTAAGTCTCCCATTATATCTTTGATATGTTAAAATTTAAAAAGACATTTTAAAAAGCAATAAAAGACCACAGCATTTTGAACAGGCATGAATTTTACCTCATTCAAATTAAATGGTATGGGGGTGGCAGAGTAATGTTAATGTTTATAAATAACATGCCACAAGTGTTCAAATTAGTCCAATTGGTGAGTCACTCCCCAAATCATGGAATTTGGAACAAGAAGGAATATGGATATTCTAAGCTTGGAGCATTAGGATGGATGAAGAGGAAAATGAAACTGTCATCAGCTTCATCTTGCTTGGATCCACTAAGCATCACTGTTGGTAACATCAGTCAGGAATTAAGAAGACACATTGCACTGGGAAAATCTGCAGTTAGGGACCTCTCAAAATTATTGAAGAGTAACGACTAAGGTGTGTCTGATACAGACCGTAGTCTTTCCGATCACTTGCTATGTATTTGAGAGCTGGGAAATGAATAAGGATGGCTGAAAAATAGTTGATGCCTTTGAACTGTGGTATTGGAGAAAAGCACTGAACATCCCATGGACGGCCAAGAGAACAGATATGTCTTGGAGAAGGTGCAACCAGAAGTGCTCTTTGGAGGAAAGAATGATGACATTTTGCCTCACATACTTTGGGTATGTTTCTAGAAGGGGCTATTCCTTGGAGAAGGGCTTGATTCTGGGTGGGTGGGCAAAGGATAGGAAGACCCTCAACCAGGGGAATTGACACAGTGACTGCTGCAATGGGCTCTTGTGTGTTAGGAAGTGTGGGGATGGTGCAGGATAGAACAGGGTTCAGATCTTTTGTTCATAGAGTTGCTTATGAGTCATACTCTACTTGATGGCACCAAACAACAACAAACTTGGAGGAGATTCTCATATTAAGCTGTGCTACCATCCACAGCTTCTCTGCATACATGTATGCAGAGCAGATTATCCGAGAGGCTGGGCTCTATGAGGAGAATTGTGGCATCAGGATTGGTGGAAGATCTATTAACAATCTGCGTTAT